TCATGGGGTCACGAAGAGTCAGACACGACTTAACGACTGAACAACAACAACAACAACAACAGTACTCGCTCATATTCCACCACCAATGCTTCAGGCACCTTTTCTGCTACCATCTCCTAGATCAAATCAAGGAGCCTCCTGGGCTGGCAGATAGGAAGATGCTGCCACTGTCATTGCCGAATTCTAGAGTCCAACCAGGTTGTAACAGAACTGTGCACTAATGATTCTTATGGTGTGTTGTCTGTGGCTTCTGAGATTTCCAAGCAATTTAAAACTCTTCCATTTGGTTTCTCTCTGACTTGGGAAACTTACGTTATTACTTTATTGTGTCAGAAAATTCACTAAGATGAATCAGTAGGTGTTGATTTGGACTTAGTAGTCTCACAATCTGTTAAATGCTCCTTAAATGATAGTCAATGCCTCCTACCGACTATATCTTCCCACAGCATTTTCATATCCCTTGTCATGGGATAGCAATGCTAAGCATCCAAGTGATAGAGCAAAAATCAAACTTTTTGACAATCTCATTTCAGAGTGTTTTTAAATGGCATGTTAGAATAAGAAATTACTAAGTGGATTTTCTAGGAACAATAAATGCAGTAGTTACTGGACCAATGCTGATTTGGACCTGATCAACAATATATGAATATATAAGTGCAGGACATATTTACAAATGTAATAATAATAAGAAATATTACTGTGAAATAGCGTGAGATTTCTTCCAGTATAGACATTTGAATATAGAACTGATTTCTTTAGGGATTAATGGAATAATGAAAAAAAACGTTCTTTTAAACCTTAGAGAAATAGTGATTAAATCTGCTTGTTGTGATGGAAGAAACCCTAAGTGTCAAATGGCAATTACAGTTCACATTAATAAATATAAAGACTGAAGATGTGTAGTTTCTTCCCATTTAATTAAAATGAACGATGGTTTTGCATCTTTCCTTACCTTTACAATTTTGTGAATGCTTCTAACTCCACAATTTATAGCAGTCAGAATGAAAGAATACTAAGAATAAAATAACAGTGAAAGTGACTGCCCAAAAGAAAGGCAGGCCAGAGGCCAGTTATTTTTGGAGACCTGATAATTATCCATTTGTCTTGCAAGACATTGTTACTCTTTTTATATTTCACGCTTGTATAATTGGAGACACTGTTAATAACCAAAGCCATTTCTGATATAGAGATATAGATAGATATAGATACAGATATTCAGCACAATGATTTTAAAAAGCAGTTTGGGTCAAGTCAGCACAGGCCTCTTATAAATTCTTATACCACTCAATCCACAGCTCTGTGCATCAGCTGCAGTCCCTCCTCAGAAAATCCTTGTTGTTACTTTTGCATTGCAAGCAATTCCTGTGAAGTTCACTGTGATGTTCTCTATAACTTTAGCAAACCTTTCTCTGAATCCAGCTTTACAGGTGTCCCTGAGACTGACCAGGAGGAAAACTTCTGGTCCCAAGCCCTGGAAGATTTGGAGACGTGTGGACAGTCAGGAATTCTGAGGGAATTAGAGGTAGAAGCAATCTTAATCCTGTCATAATAGACCAATTTCTTTTTTCAATTAACACTCATTTTTGTTGGGTTTTCCCCTCCTTTTTCTAAGTTTGCATTAATCTCACAAATTCATTTTAAAGCTTTAACCCCTCTCCACAGGACAAGGTTGACAGGCGTCTGTATTTGAGAAACATGGCTCTCTTGGTACTTACCCTTTAGTGTTTATACTTTTGCTTGCCAAGCTGCCTTTGCTAACCCCCCAGTCAAGCAATTATCTTCCATGGATCTGCTGCTGAAATGTGTGTGAGCAAAAGCTTTCCTGTGCTACCTCTGGCTGCATCTGTTTTCAGGCTTACTTTGCCTTAACAGCACACATCTCATTCTCTTCTAGCTGCTTTTATAAAAGGTTTTCTTGGCATGTATCTCTTGCAACAGAACTGAATCTGAATTACAGGGAACATAAACGAAAACCAAGTCTCCACACATTTTTACAATTAGATTCACCACATGAACCAATATAGCTACAAAAGATTTGTATATTCAGTGGGGGTTTTTTCCTGTTGCAATCTGATGTTAATCACAGTTACATATTCCATATTAACTTTGCACTCAGTTGTTTTACTTCAAAAACAGAGTAACTAGACACTTTTTTAAAAACTTGGCCACCTTTCTTAATCACAACAAAAATTAATATTCTTAGTTTAATTCCTCAGAAGGGTGAGTCTGCAAGAATTTTCTTTTATGTTCTTTTAAATTCCCAGCGTTGCAAAATTGTAAGAGTCTTGTTTTCATCTTTATGTCATATTGAAATCAGAGAGTCACCACAATGAATGTGAATGGCATTGACAAGATAAAACTCATGCTACTCAAGTTGATTGCATAGCCTCAGATCTGTAGCTTCCATATTGCATGCCTGTTATCTTAATGTGGATATGATATATATTTAATTGACATTCGGAGTATTTTAGGGAAATGGCTTGTCAGTTCGGTTTAGTTCGGCTTAAGGCATGTACCTCAAGCTTCTCTTATGGATTTTCATCCTAAGAGCACAGCAAATGGATATGGAAATAGAATGAATATTTCAGTACGCTGAGAATTCTTTCATTTAAGAAGTCTTTTAAAAAGTGAAAGTAATTGGGTATATATACTATCCTAATTATACTTGGGTCTTGTTGACAGTTTTGCAAATTAATTGTATCCTATCAGTCTAACCTTACATTCCTCTCAAAGTAGATCTACTTTGTTTTTAAAGTATCCTTATTTTGATAGTAAGGAAAAATGTTTAAAGAATATGTCAGAAACGAAAACTATTGTTTTTTAAAGAAAATAATTAAAATCCTAAGCTTACTGTTTTTATTACAAACAAGAGGAAATACTGGAAATAAAAATATATCTTTATATATATATATGAGACCATTGGTTGCTAAATACAATAAGAGGGTATATGATGGAAGTGAAGCATATTTGAGAATTTTAGTGAATGGTTCAGCACTGAGCAGGGAGTAAGACAAAGGTGTGGGATGTCTCCTTGGTTGTTTAATGAATTTATGAATATATTTAAAAGTCATGTTGGTAATGACATAGGATAAGTGTTGGTTGTATATTTTTGTACAGAATCAATGTGTACTTTTGCATCCAATCAATACTGGGTTGTGAGCTGAGAACCCAAATGATTTGCTACAAATTAGATAGATTGTCATAGCTCTGAACATTAAAATATTGAAAAGTAAAGTAGTTGTGTTTGATGCAAAAAATGTGGTGAATGATTGCAAATTATATATAAATAGTGAAAAACTAGAGTAACTAGATGAATTTGTGTACCTTGCTAGAAGGTTTACTAAATATGGGAACTGTATGGAAAGGTAGTGGGTAATATGCATTGTGATAAACAAAGGTTTGTCAAAGGAAGCAAAGATGACTGTATATAGGAGTATGTTTCTGCCCACTTTGTATGCTGAATATGATGTTTGGTACATCAGGAGAAATATAAAACTAAGTTAAATGCAGTGTGAATGGTGATGCTGCCAACATCTCGTCTCAGTGGAGGCTATAGAGGATTGGATGGGGAGGAACAGGCTGAAGCTTGACATGCCTGAGAAGCTATGGGTGTTTGGAACACTCCTCCCTCCAGGCTAGAGATATTTCATCTTTAGTCTTGTATGGAATGGCACACACACACACACACACACACACACACACCACTTCTGGATTACTGCACAATTTTGGGATCTTCTTGGATGCACAGTTCCTGCTCGAGGTGCAGGTAGCAGCTGAGACAAAAAAGGCCTTAATACAAATCCATCTTCAGGGCCAATTGCTCCCTTATGTGGAACAGGATGCCCTTCAGACAATCACTTGTGGTTTGATTGTCTTATGCATGGACTACCACAATATGCTCTACATGGTGCTGCCCTTGAAGACTACTCAGAAGCTGCAGCTGATCCAGAATGCAACAGCAATAATGGGTATACCTTGTTAGGTCCATGTAATATATTTGCTCCGTGAGTTGCACTGGTTACCTGTATTCTTCCAGATACAATTCAAAGTGCTAGTTATTGTCTATGAAGCCCTTCATGGCATAGGGCCTGGTTATCTAATGGACTGTCTGTCTTCTGTGGCTGTTGCCTAGCCTGTACAATTAGGCAAAGTTGGCATCTGCATTCATTAAGCATTGCTACTTGATGGGACATAGGAGGTTCTCTGTTATAGTACTTAAGAAGAATGTATGGTAAAACATAGGAAAATAGGGACAGGAATGAATGGCTGCTGAACAAATGTGGGTCGATTACAAAAATGAATAACAGTATGAAAGAAGCAAGTAGCTGGTCATGCAGAGAGACTGAATGAGGATCAAATTGCCAAGCAAATCTATGAAGGAAGTGTGAATGGATCAGGAAGAAAGGAAAGGCTGAGAAAGTTGTGGTTGGATAGAGTTGGTAAGATCCTCAAAAGAGGGAGATTGAAAAAAAATTAAAAAGGCTATGTATGAAATAGTATGTGGGTGGAGTGGAAACTAGAATAATTTGCAAGGATCAAGTGCTATAGTAAACCATATTGGTGTAAACTAGATTAAGCTACATTTCCTTTTGTTTCTCTTAATTCATGACTTATTTTCTTTGCCTTACTCTCTCTTACTCCACTTCTGCAACTGTGCATAATCTTGGTTACTCCAAAAGGGGAAAACATCATGGTGTGTGTGTCTGTGTACGTATAGACCTATTAAAATTTAAAGATGGGGCTTTATTTGAAAAAGTTCCACTAAATACATCTAATAAAACCTTATATACTTTTATACCAATCTACTGGGGAATCTTCAGGGACTCTTCCCCAGTTTCCCAATCAAATTGTTCATCTATTCTCCAAGCCATTTGCTTGCCCTGAGCAACCGTATTTTGACAATGACAGCAGAAAAATATGCTACTTTTTATTAGGAATTAATCTTCTTTATTATGTTACATATTATATTTTAAAAACCTGTTTATTAATGCTGCAGGCCACAATTATGTCAGGGAGTACAGTGAGCCTGAATCATGATAACCCTCAGGTTCGCAGCCATCTAGGAAGACAAGCCAGCTTTCAGGAAAGAAGTACTTCGAGGCCACATTATAGCCAGACCACTCGAAGCAACACATTGCCTTCAGATGTGGGGAGAAAGTCCATAGCCCTGAGGAAAATGAAGCAAGAGATGAAAGAAATCATGTCCCCAACTCCTGTGGAGTTACACAAGGTGGTGACCTTTCAATTTCACTTTCTGACTAAGCTTTACATTATGAAGTATTGTGAAGAAACTGGTTACTTGATGGTATCTCTGCAAATGCTGCAAAAAGTGTTACAATCTCAACTAATCACAGACATCACATTCATTGCAATGTACAGATTTTGTTGGAAATGTTTTTCTTGAACACTTTATATTGATGAATGTTCATCAAATCACTGCAGATGAATATTAAGATAATTGAGAAGCTTTTCTATTATTGTGTTTTGACATTTTCATGTGAGTGGCCTGGAATCACTAGGTGAGATGGGTAGCTCTATAAATTTCATAGGTGGGGGAGAGGGAGGGAGGGGGAGAGAGAGAGAGAGAGAGAGAGTTTTTTCCCCTCTAAAAGTAGAAGTGGATGATTTTCACTCCACATATTCCCTCAGCAAGGTCACATAATTGTTCATGATGAAGCATGCAAAATAAAATAAAGGGAAATTGGTTAGTAACTATTGAGTAAACATGTAGATCTCCACATTTGACTTCATGCATATGGGGATGGAAGATTACAACCTTTCCCCTGCCTCTTTCTTCCCAAAAAATCCCTCCTTCCGGGATACACAGATTAAGGGAAAGAAAGCCTAACTGCTTTGGTTTTGTTTTTCATTCTTCCATGAGGTAAAAGAAAATAGAAGCAGTGCAACATTTTCAATTCAGCAATAAATGTTCTGGGTGAATAATAGTTTTTATGCATCTCTGGTAGTATTCAGTTTAGAATAACCATAAGAATACATGTTTCCAGTATAATCAAAGGGCAGATTAAACTGGCATTCATCCCAATGTTCAGTATTTTCTCTGGGTTGTATATTATTTGTTTTTCAATGTGCTGCTTCAGCAAATCCACTTCCCATACATACAGAGATACTTCAGGTAAAATAAATAAATGAGTGAACAGACAAACAGCTCAAATCAGTTTAAATGCTCTGACATTCATATTTTAATGCCAGCTAAATTCAGCATGCAGCACAATATTACAATTCCTACAGAAAAAAATATTTATGTTCATCTTCAAAGTGGGAAGGGAACTATCAAAAATGCATATTTTGAACCTCTAGCTAGAAAGAATATAGGTAAGAGAAAGCTTATAGTTAGACAAATCCCATGTTTATATATTTACCTATTTTTTTCCTTTTAGTAACGGTGGCATGGACACTTTTTATAATTGCTAGAGTATTTGATTTTTATGTTAGTGTCTGCTTGGAATTCTTGCAGTATATTATTCCAACCATCAAAATTTTCACAAAGATACCTGCTGGTATCCTTCCATAGAGATTTAAGGAGTACATTTTCATCATACTGTATATAGCTGCTTCTTTTCTTGTTGCATTGCAATAAGGAAGAACAACTTCCGTTAACTATAACTTCCTGTTATAGTTAAGCCAGGAAATTATAGTTAAACAAATTTTGTTTAAAACTAAACTTCATTTATGATTCCAGCTTGTTCCATATCTGATAAACGCCATTACTGGTTTAAGCCATAGCAGGAGATTGTGCTTAAAGGAAGATTTCCTACCATATTGCAATATACCAAAGTAAAGGGTTGTTTGTGCAGATAAAAGCTGATATAAGATTGTCCTAACAGAGTCATCGTGCAGTCTTAGGCTCCACAACAAAGCAATGGTGTCAGCTATCTTTTTCTTGAAAATATCATTATCATAGAATCATAGAGTTGAAAGAGGCCATTTGGGCCAGCAAGTTCAATCTACTGCACAGTATGAAAATCCAAATTATAGCATCTCCAGCAGGTGGCTGCCTGATTTCACTTCTACTCATCCAGTGAAACGGAGCGAACCACCTTTTTCAGTAATTGGTTCCACCGTCAAATTGCTGCAACTGTCAGGACGTTTTTTTCTAGCATACAGTTGGAATATGTTTTCTTGTAACTTGCATCCATTATTCTGCGACCTGAACTCTGGAATAAAAGAAAACGGGTTTGATTTTCTTCTACATCATATGTTTTCAGGTATTTAAAGGGCATAATCATATCAAGTCTCAGTAATATTTCCTCAGGGGTAAATATATTGAGTTCCTTTTATTGTGTTACTAGGATTTATTTTTAGTCCCCTAATGATCCTTCTCTGAACCTGTTCCACTTTTGCCGAATCCTTCTTAAAGTATGGTGCCCAGGACACAATACTCTAGGTGGGGTCTGGCTAAACAGAATACAGTAGAATAATTACTTCTAATGACTTAAAAATTATAGATGCAACCTAAAATTGTGTTTTCCTTTTATAGCCACATCACACTGGTGACTCTTTGTAATAAAGAGTTTGTATTAAACTACTATTCCAAGATTTTTTCACAAGTACTGTTACCAGTATCCCTTAACCCTATACCTATGCAGAACTTTGTGTTTTTCTGTGTTCAATTCATTGATATTTTCAGCTCATTGCTATAATATATTAATATGATTTTGAATTTTATTCTACAGTATTAAATATCTCTTCTTTCATACCATCTGCAAACATAGTAATAAAAATGTTGGAGAATAGAGTTCAGAATAAATTTTGTACTACCCCACTCAGTTCCTTACTCCAGCTAGATGAGGAATATGCTGAATATGTATTTTGAGTCAGCTATGCATTTGCTATGGCACTTAGCCCATACTTGTACTTTGTCAGCTGTTTCTGCTGAAATTGCAATATATTATGTCTATGGTGCTCCCCCAGTCTACCAAGGAAGTTATCTGATTTTAAAAATGAGATAAAATTAATCTGCAATGACTTGTTCTCTTCTAGAAATTACCAAATTATTGTCAGGTTACCTATAGATTAATCTTGGTATGATCTCCCTTAAATCTTCTAGATCTTGATGCAAAAAAAGGCATTTTTCATTAATATAATGAAATTATTTTTTCATTAATATAATGAAAAAGGTAAAGAAAGGAAGTGAGTGGAAAATACCAGAAAGTAACTATTGCTCACACTTGGCCTATGAGAAAATGGTTGGGCAGAAAAAGTGTTTCTGTATTTTTAACAAAGTCATGAGGAATGTTCCTTATCCTCCACAGATAACTTTATACAAGGATTCTGATATGGAGGACTTTGGATTCAGTGTCTCAGATGGCTTACTGGAAAAAGGTGTATATGTTAAAAATATTCGGCCGGATGGACCTGGAGATGTGGGTGGTTTGAAGCCATATGACAGACTACTACAGGTAGTGTAAAACATTATACAATTGTGAACCCAATTAATAGAAGGAAGTTAATTCTGCTTTCTCATTCACTTACTTTGTAAGCCAATAAGGGAAAATGTACTTTGGAAGATTCCAACCTACCCATGAACAGGATAGGTACCAATGTCACTAAATATCTGATAAAAATGTAAGTGCTTTTTTTTTTCTCCAATAAAAAAGTAGATAAAGTAATTTACCTATGACTTGAGGGGTCTTATTTGATGAAAAGGATAAAAGAAAATGTAAAAAAGAAAAGATTGAGTAGGAGATATATATGAGACTGTAGATGTAACTGCTGAAAAACTGGATTCCTTTGCAGATTAATTTGAAGATTAGCTATTGTTTATCTGGGACTATTTTTCTAGTAAATTTTAATCCCTTTTTGGAACACCTGAATAGGGCTTATTTCTCTTTTCTTTCCTTGCCTAATTATCAGCTCCCCTTACTTCATCTCCACCCTGTTTAGTTTCCCTTTCTCTTATCCACACTGCCCAATATAGCTACCCTTATCCTACAGCCTGTCTCCATCCTGTTTTTCCCTTATTTTTCTGGATTCTGCTAAAAGGAGGGAGGAGAATGTTACTATGTATGTGTATTTTTTGGGTGAGAAAACTGTTATTACACATGAGAGAGAATAGCTGGTAGATGCAGATAGAAATAATTTTCTAAATGGAGTTTCTTACTTTAGGCAATTAATTTATATTGCTGATTAATTCGTTTTTTAAATTGTCAAAGCCTGTCATTTTGGGGAGTGTGGCTTCTGAGATGTATACAAGTAGGTATGTACATACGTAAATGCATGTACAAGTTTGACCCACTGGGGAGGGGGAAATCTCCAGAAAGATTTCAACTAAATCTAGCAGTTCTTTAAAGCACCAGGAGCCCTTGTGGAGTGAGGTATAGAAATGCTGGAAATGAGGGAATGAATGAATGAATGAATGAATGAATGAATGAATGAATGAATGAATGAGTGAGTGAGTGAGTGAGTGAATGAATGAATGAATGAATGAATGAATGAATGAATGAATGAATGAATGAGGCAGGGAAGGTGGTCAGTGCATAGGATTTTTGTTCATTATTTTTTGTTGTCTATTCTTCCTTTGGGGTGAGGAATAGTCCTAAATTCAGGATTATTTACGTAAATACAGTAGTCTCTGCTGCACAACTGCAACCTTGTGTTCATTTTCTTGACACAGTACTACTGAACACTGTGAGAGGGACTTCCGAATCAAATTAGATAGAATGAGGAAAAATCAAATTAAGCTTATTAGCTTACAAGATTACATTCAATTTAATTCAATCTCTTGGAAATATTTTCTTCTTCACCTCAAGCTCCTTATTCATCTGGTCCTAAACTGTGTTATATTATCCTTGAACTAGTATACATAAGACCATATTTTATTGCTGGCTTGACTTGTCTTGTCTTTTGTTTACATCTTTTTTTTCCTTTTCAGGTAAATCATGTTCGGACAAGAGACTTTGATTGCTGCCTAGTTGTGCCCCTGATAGCAGAGTCTGGTAATAAATTAGAACTTGTTATTAGTCGCAACCCTTTAGCTTCCCAAAAGATGACCTCAGAGCAACAGACTTTCCCAACAGGGGAGTGGAGCCATCAAAACAACGCCTTCCTTCAACAAAGCGGACATAACACTGGTTCAGAGATGAAATGGGAACCTATGAACACTTTATAGCCAAAAACTGTATCAGTCCAAGAGATTTAAACGGTGCTATTTTTTTTAACATGTCTGATACACTGGAAACACAGATACTATCTAATGTTGAGAAGCACACAGAGGAAGTTCTGATTATTTCTCAAGGCTCATTCTTTGCTGCTTTCTTCCCAGTCCAGTTTTCTTCTCAGTTTTTTATAACCACAAATAGTGCCATTTCAAGGTGAACTTAACATGCAAGAGAAATTAATGAAGAAAGTACCTTTTTTTTCATGTAGATTAATCAAAAGAAACATTGTAAATGAAAGATAGCTCTTTTCGACCCCTATCAAATTTCTGAAAAGGGTATCCCCAACTTGGAATGTGGGGTTTTTCAAAATTGGAACGTGGTTTATTTTCAAAATTTATACTATTCATTCAGCTAATTGAATGAAGGAATATCAAAATATTACTACTGTGCCCAAAAGATTATTGTATCATAGTTGCTGTTTAATAAAGTGTACATCTGTTACCTCTGCTAAACAAAAAAAAAAGGGGGGGGGGGACCAAAAACTGTTAGTTGTTTTGCAACCATTTTAGCAAAGTGCACACAGGATCCTGGAGGGTAAAACTTTACATTCTGTTATAATATGATTTATTAGGAATTATATTATTCCCTATGCAATGATATAATGAATAGGATATGTCATGCAACCTATATGGATTTCTCACTTTTAGGTATTTGGAACTTCTAATGAATTTCTGTTTTAAAACAGTAAATAAGTTTTGGTGAAACTTAAAGTTTAATAAGATAAACATTCAAATAGGTTTTTTTCTTAACTGAATTCCAGTAGCAAAATAATACTGATGCAAAAACATATGAACTGCCGTGTTTAGGGAACACGTATATAAATAAACTTGTACAGCTACACAGGATTCTTTTTTAAAAATTAAAATAATTGGTATGTGCATTGATTTAAAATATCTATTTAAATAGCTTTGTTGGAGCTCTCATTGACTCTGCCATTTTGAAAACTTAATTTTAAAATTGTAAATATGTTTTACCCACACATTCCCAAATTCTGCCCTGTTTCCCATTCAAAGCAATAAAATGCTGCTAGTTGCTTTCGAGACCCACCAGCAGCTGCTTTGGTTTGTTCACTGTATTGTCTTGATAATTAATGTTCCTTGGTGACCGGAAAGACACTGGATTTTTCTGTTATAACTGTAGAACCTTTATGTCTTATCACATTTTTTTTTTTGGTCTCTCTGAATTGTCAAACTATTCATAATACACTTTTCCTTCACCTATTAGAGATCAAGCTTCTATGCCCTATGCACTCACATGACATGTTCTCATATTCCAGCACTGCCAGAAAGAAAAAATCATTTAAATGAAATTGAAACCCATACCATGAACCACTTAATACGTATTTTTATTTGTAACAATGAGTATTAAACTAAAGTATTTTTGTACAAATTTAATACTTTAATAGCATGATATTTATCATCTATGTATGGTTTCTGGGAACTCAAATTGTTAAAAATTTGTATGGAAAATGTAAAAAAATCTAATAAACAGATTTAAAGACAATAGTTTGGATCCTAAAAGTATAAGCAGAAGCAAGATTGGGGAACGTGACCTCCTTGACCACTACAGGACAGTGGAAATAGGCAAAAATTGAGTCAAGGAACTTCCACCTTCCTCATGGGGGTGGGGGGACATTTCTCTATTTTTATACAGTATATGGTGTTTTTACTTAGACTGATCACTAGGAGGCAGTACCTGGCCAGTTTCATCTTTACTTGGGACTCAACAGGTGTCCGTAGCCCCATGTAAAGCTAACACACTGTATATAGTCATCCAAAGTGCAATGGCCTTTGAGTTCAATTCCTAGTAGAGGGTTGGAGCACCATAAAACTGTGGCTACATATGCCTCAACAAAACAACTGCCTCCTGGTAGTCAATATAAGTAAGTACAGTGCAGCAAGCCAAATTTGGATTATTTAAATCAATCAAGAGGTTATCTACCGTTACATTATTTTTTGCAAGCAAAGACAAATACCAAAATACAGTGAAGCCACATTACAAGAGACCATTTCATGGAAGCAGATGTCAGTTACTCTCAAAAGTTCATCAAATATGAAATTATGCAATCATGATCATTATAAAGCAGTTATTTGCATCACTATATCATTTGTATAATGATGTCATTAGGCAAATGAAAATTGCCAAGGATATAAAATTAAGTAAAATTAATATAAATACAACTGCCTCATCCAGGCTACTTTGAATGCAATGGACTTGTCCATTATTTCAGATGTAGTTGAAATAGAGATGGAAATTTGAAAATCTGCTAAATCTAAGTCTGTTAAATTGATATTTTGCCATAGCTGATTTGAGTACTTCCAGGCAACAAAACAGTTTTGCTATTGTTATAAGAATTATTTTAATGAAGAGAATCATCTGAGAAACTCATGTGAAATAATCTATTTAGGGGGAAGATTACTGACAAATATCTAGTGACATATTCAAGATGTTGCTATAAATGTAAAAGGGATTAGCCTTATTCTCTCCTCTCTCTTCCTGTGAGAAATATAGACATACAGCACACAACTAAAAATTATATGGTAAACTAACTTGCTTGGTATGTATGTAGCTTCTTAACCTGGACATTTTTAACATTTGTGAAGTCTTTTAAAAAGTATATTTAAAGACAAAATTCATTCCTTTTGTTTAATCAAGTGGTCCATGTGATTTTTCACAACGTTTTTTAAAGCGTTTATGTGAAATCACAAAATATGTTAGTTCTGTTATGAAACAAACAGCAGCAATAACAAAAAACAAAAAGGGAAATGGAAGCAGAATATCTGACTGAGTAATAGACGTTATGATTGGAAGAATTGCATGGTAATGGTATTCCTCAGGGTCAAACTTCAAATCTGTTCCAAAGAAAACAGAATTCTCCTGAGATGTTAACGAAAGATATTTTTTAAAAAGATATGCGTTAAGACCTGATTCTAGTTGATAAAAATAGCTTTAAATTATGAGTATGCATCCTGTAGCTACCAGCCTTCTCTGATTTTTGACAACCTAAAATAAAAACATTAAAGATTGGATCAGGTAGGAAAAGTGGAGGGAGGGGATCCACATCCAAAAAAAAAATAGATTGGATTAATCATAATTTGATTTTTATAATGGATGCATCTACTTCTCCTTCACCCTGCTGACATGTAGTCCTCAGCTAACACAGGTGATGCATCTGTTTTAAATTAACATTAAAAATATTACCTTCATTGCAATCCTGAATACAGATCAAAAGTTTCCTCTTCCCTTCTCTATCATATTATCCTTGAGCACTGGGAATATGCTTAGAGGCCCTGCCATTACTTTTAAGTGCTGCTCTGTTAATTCCTCCTCAAGAGACTGTGAAAAACTGTTTCATGCATCTGTAGTTGAAAGAAGATGGAAACATAGGGCTGCTGAATATGATAACAGATAAAAGTTCCAACCTTAGGAAGTGTTTATTTTAGGAGGCAATGGCAAACCACTTCCAAAAATCCTTGCCAAGAAAACTGCAGGGACTAGTCGAGGCAGTTGCTAGGAGTCAACACTAACTCAAAGGCACCAAAAAAGAAAAGAAGAAAAGAAAAGAAAGTAAACCCAAGATAGCAACTTACCTTCAGTTCTTACCTAGACTCTACTTTTACTCAGAAATACTAATGCCATAGCAATCAGACAATCAATGCAAACTTTTCAAGAATTTGACAATGTGTAGAGGCTTTGCTAACTGGATTTTTTTCTTTGTAGTGATTTTACTTGACAAAGAATCCTATAATTTCAAGAGCTCTTGGTGTTTAAGGGCTTTTTAATTGTCTAAACTAATTTAAATTCAAGACACAGAAGAGAATAGCTCATTTAATTTTGATTCATTACAATGCTAGATTCAGATTCCCCCCTTAGTATTTCCCAACTACTAACTACCTGAATCAATTTCTCAAAGCCGTACCAATCCCATTTGCCATCTGCATAGTTGATTCCTGGAAAAAATTCTTGCCACAAAAGAGGAAGATGGGGAGGCAGCGGTGGTCACTATTTGCAGAGCATGATCTAAGAGGCATATGACACCACCACCGTCCAGAAGAAAGTCTTCTCAAGGTCTGGATGAGACACTGGACAAACATGTTCCTACTAGTAAAAAATAAATCTTGCTTAAATTTTATGTACAGTACAATAAAAATAATCTTACCAAAGTTATTGGTTTCCTCAATAATAGAGACTCAGCAACATTAGCATTGTGCCAATATTAGCAATTGCTGTTCCAGCTCCAAGGACAACTGTGTTTTCCTCAGGACCCTAAAAAACGTATTGAGAAAGAACTCTTGAATAAAGCCATTTCAAAATACCTTTACAATAAATTATTATACCCTTTCCTTCCTTCCTTCCTTCCTTCCTTCCTTCCTTCCTTCCTTCCTTCCTTCCTTCCTTCCTTCCTTC